AGGACAATATTTTCCTTTAAGATCTCCACACACATTAATGGATCCACAAAGCTTGTCCTGGGGCACCATAATGGCTAAGATCTCATAATGCAATAATTCCCCTGAAACCAATGGTTTTTTTTTATGGTTGACAGGCATTTAGATTTAGAAAGCTTACGTCCCATATTTTTTCAGTCATATCTGCTAGAAGCAATCTGGGTCCAGCGCTGGCCTAGTTCTATCCCTCTATTTTGGGCAGCCCTTTGGAAAGTATTAAACAGAGAAGAACAATGCAATTTTTGAGTGGCAGCATTATAAAATACTCTCGCAGATGAGAGCCACATCTGTCCAAAGTAGAGAGGACTGCAACTGATGCAGACAGAGAGGAAATAGTGATTTATGATGTTTCAGCCCCTTAATGTCACAGATTTTCTCTAATTCCATCATTTCCTGTATGTAGAATTATTGTGTGTTTGTGAGAGTTGGGTACTTCAGTTGCGGTGATTTAAAACTGCTGTTTGTGTGTCCTCAAAGTTCAAGTGATTGTAAGCCCCCACTGAACACTCAGGCCACCTGCTTTGATGAATTCCTCAAGTGGTTTTCGCTGTACTGACCTTTGAAATAGGGACACGGTCTCTCCAAAGGTGCTTTGTGGTTTTGTTTTGCGCCATGTCAGGATAAAAAGAACAGATATTACTTTCATCATGTTTAATATTCTCATAAAATGTTCAGTATGCAAAGCGGCAACACAAGAACACATTTCTTTGACGATTTAAAATGAAACATCCTTTGTCCTGTTTCTTAAAATCAAAAGCGCAAAAAGATTAAAAGTTGAGTGAGAAAAGATTTAACAAACAGAAAGGCAGCCACTGGAGAAGGCGGCCATATTGACTTCAGTAGCTTTCAAGTTGAAAGCAAGCATAGGCATCCCCAACATCCTCTAACTCTTTGATGTGATTAAGATGGATTCAGACTTTCCCTCAGTGCACAAAACCACACAATTGCTCTGCTAATGGCCACTATCAAACCCCTGAAAAGTGCAGAAGAGAAGAAATGGAATAGCTTTGTTTCAACTGAGACATATTGTGTAAATGTGAACTACTTTAATTCAGGATCATTGTGAATGATCATCTTGATCGGTTCTAAAGTGGGAAAGCCCAATATTTAAAACATGCTAAAGCAGTAGAAAATTTTATGTGCAAGTGTGATCATCCATCCAGTACCTCTCCAACTATAGAATCATCATCTAATACAGAATCCACAGCTACAAAGCCAACTAATCAGAACAAGGTATGAGTCATTCTGTCATGCCATTGCAAAAATAGTCTTTTCACCAGAAGTAGTGAAAGGATGAATCACCAAGTAGCTTTAAGCAACACAAAGGGAATACTTTCAAACACAGCTCTGTCTATCGACACTAAAGCTTGAAGCTGTTGTCTGTGAGTTTGCAAGGAGAAAGTCACGCTCTGTGTCTAAAAGGAAAAAGTGCTCTAAATCCATTTCAAAGACGAGGGCAGACAGTGACGGAAAAAAGTAATGAATATTTTACAGGCAGGGAGTGTGGAGCTGCACTCCAGGTGACACTCTTGCGTTTATAGAGCTTATCAGAAACCCATCACCAATCGAGTCCGGCCAAGGCAAAGCCATGTGTGTGATTGTTTATCAGCAGCCTGTTGGTGGGTCGCTGTTACCTGCATGCTGCCTGCATCAGGCCAATCGCAGGGACATTATGCTGTAAATTGGACCTATAAATGACCCTTTTGAAATGCAGTGCTGCTGTTGAAGTTTGGCTCCGAATGTCTCAGATTAAAAATGGCTATATGAGGAAGCTGTGTGCCTGCAATATAGTGCTGGTTTTCTGCAGGGAGCTGATATGAATTTTTATTATGTGCACTGTCAAATTATAAATGATTTTAACCCCATAACTTCCGGTTTCCCCCCCTTAATTTCCCTTTAAGTAGCTTTTTATCTTTTATTCCACTCTTGTTGACGGTATCACAAACTGTATATATTCTCTATCAGCTTGTTCCAGCTCTTTAAGCTATATGATGTTTATATAATGTATATGGGAATGTTGCGCATTGTTATATTTTCTAAAAACTTAGGTAGAATTTAAAATCAAGTTTTGTGGATTTAAACAAAGTATGGCCGCACATTATGAGTTTGACAGTATTACGTACTTGCGTTTTGAACCATACTCATACATACCTCAGGTGTCTAAACCCCAATCAACCTTTTAGAGAAAAGTACAAGAAATACAAGGCTTTTCACACCAATAGTTTGAGCAATAGAAGGGACTTCAGGGATTAAGTGAATCACATCAGTTAATATTGCACTGGTCTCTAAAGACCTGAGGCATGCATTTAAGAGTTTAAGACATGCTGTGTACTGAGAGACGAGTCTCTGAATGACACTCACTGCAATCCTGCTGAGGTGCAAGCACAAACATATCTGGTAAGCATTTGTAATAAGTTATCTTTTTAGTATTAAAGTGTCTGCATCTATTCCACCTGCATAACATTTAGACAAAAATTAATAACACTTCTCCATCATGTATTTAGTTGATTCCTCCTAATGATTCTCCTCTTACTCAGGTGAGGCGCTGCTTGGCACTCCACGGTTCCATTTTGTCACTTAAAGTCTCCTCTGAGTATTTGGGTTTTGCTCGTCTGATAACTGGCCTCTGGAGAGAAAATGCACTTTTGTGAAATTAAAAGGAACCCTCCTCGGGAAGGTAATTTGTTTGTATGCACATCAAAAGGAAGGGGGAAATAGTGGAACTGACAACATCTCTGCATGGCTTGTGTAACTTGTGCTGTGCCAGCCCTGCTTGTGAAGCAGTCCTTGAACAAGGGCGTTTTTTGATTTGGCGTGTATCTTCCTGTGTGCGAATTCTCCGCCGCTCAAGGTACCTGCCAATCGAATGACTTTGCTGCAAGAGATTAACAGTAACAGCAATCTATCTCTTCATGAAATGTAGCTTTTGAAAAAGAATGGGAATGATTTCAAAATGTTGAACCACACGCGGCCTGTCCAAAGTCTTTACATGTGCTTGCATCATCATCCTTTTAATTGAGCTTCCTCTCCTCTGCCTGTCGCTGCACTCCCTCCATGCACTCCCACTTTTATCACCTCTCCTTCTCCTTGTCCAATCTTCCCTCCTCTCCTCTCATCTCTCCTCTTATCTTTTGTTCTCTTCTTCTCTTCTCTCGTCATCTCTCCTTTACTATTTTCCTCTCCTCATTCCTTTTCCTCTTCTCTTCTGTCGTCTCCTCATTTCTCCTTTTCTCTCCTCTCCTCATCTCTTCTTCTCTTCTCCACATCTCTCATCTTTTCTCCTCTCCCACTCTTGTGTTGCCATTCAGGCTCTCCCGCACTCAGTTGCACACTCCTCCTCTTCATCATCGAGCAGAATAATGACTGTACATTTATATAAACTGATTAGCATTTCATCCTTGGTTTTCTCTCAGCACAAGTACAAATAATCGATAGACACAATGCAGGGGAAAAGAGAAGAAGGAGAAATCAATCTTGGATTGAAGTCAAGGTGAGAGAGACACTTGCATGGTCTCCTATAAAATCAGCTGCTAGACGAGGTGTGAAGAAAGAAGTCTGGGACAGAGACCCAGAGGACATCTTTGGTATGGATCAATAAAAGGAAGAATGGGAGTCAGAGGTGGAGAGGCTTGAATCTAACCTGTATTTCTTACACCATACTTGTATGCAATCTTACAGTTCTTCACAATTACTAAAACACTAAACCCCATTCTCTGAACCAAATGTTCAGTGGCCTAAACCCATTTGTCGAATCAATCACTCTTTTGGGAAAACCGTAAACAAGTTCAGGTAGTTAGACACTTTTTGCAAATCTCATCCACTCTTTTTGCAAAAATCTAAATACACTCACTAAAACACATTTTGCATTGTGATGCACTTGTGTTGCATAACGGTAAATACATGCGGCGAAAGTTAAACAACTACAACACAGCTTTCATCTTTTGCACACAACTCATAATTCTGCACACTTGTTTCAAATGAGGTGATCAAATCAATATGTGGTCAAGTCCCTGGCCAGCGGCTGGGTGTCTATGGGACAATGTCACCTTTCACTGTGGTGTCCCGCTAAGCAAGTGGTTCAACATCAACCAGCAACCAGTGATTCATAAATGTTTACCTTCAACCATACAGCCCTTACTTCAATCCAATAAAGGGATTTTTCTGGTGGTGGAAGGTCTGACTGAAATTCATTTACTGTACTAGGGAAAATCTCTTACGGGCAATAGAATTGGCCTGTAGTGAGATAGGTGTGGAGTGTTGTTACAGTACTGCTGCATGCAGCACGCCAGAGGCTTTTCCTCCTTTGCTTGGCAAGGGACAAGGTTGTATGTGATGTGGATGTAACTACATGTCGTGGATGCTGTGTTCTCAATTGACTCATATTGACTGGCTGTGTTTATGTTTTGAATGCATTGTTTGATTTTGAGCATAGATCACATGGTTTTGAGTCGATTGTTTGATTTTGCCAGAAGAGTCAGGGGTTTTGTGAATGTAATTTAAATATTATGTTTTGTGTTTAAAGTTTCAAGAAAATGGATGAAGGTTTCAAAAAATGTGTCTTAGCAATTGTGAAAAACTAAAACTGAGGCAAAGGACCTCTTTTAACCGTCTCCAGTCCTAACTCTTCCACTCACTTCAGTTTTATTTTTTGCTTGCTTTCGTGTCATTTTTGTGTGCCAGTGCAGTGTAAGAAAGTAAGGGTTACAAAGTAAGAAACAAAAAGACATTTTCATTCCTCGAGACATTTCAGAGGAGACAAACAACCACAGCTAAAATAATGACTCAATTTTATCTCTCACTTTGCTCTTCCATTCCACTCAGTCTCTAGAGAGCATTACTCATCTGTGCGCCAGGTAAAGGAAGTTTGAGTGCTTTTCAAAGAAGACGTAAACTTTCTGTTTTGCAAATAAATGCCCACAAGTTTCAAACCACTGGCTGCAAAAGACAAACAGAGGGCAAAAAAATTTGAGTTTCATTAAGATTTATTCATATGAAAATAATATAACAATAAGAACATTAGACATGTTTTAAACTGCATTACTGTAAGAGGGACCGTGTTCAGTGTCATGTCAAGGGCTGTCCCTGAATACAAAACATTTTATTTGAATAACAAATGCAGGATTTGTTCGCTCTTTGAACACACTGAATCACAAATTTGTTGGATTAGTTTTTGACATGAGGGACTTCTGCAAATAAATGCAGTCATGCAAAATGACAAAATTCTGCTTTTACATAGTGTAGCACTGTAGCAATACATATTTGTGAATATTTTTAGTGATTTTGCAAGTAACACTCCAAGAACTATCTCAAAAGAAAAGTAAAGGACCCAGCCCATCTTCATTTTACTAATGCACTAAAAAGGGCTGTCTCACACATTTTATATTTGAGTGCATCTCTAACAATATCATGTCCATCACAACATCTACACCTACTCAGCGTTCTATTCCATACTGTAATTTCCTTTTAAAGGTGCATTAAGTGATATTTTTCTGCCCTGTAGCACGAAATAACATATTAGTCTAGCCTAGCCTGCACACGTTCCCAGACTTCCCTTTTAGCCGCCATCACAAGACATTTCACTGTCAAGCCCAAAAAGCAAACAATGCATTTTTATTTTATATATATATATATATATATATATATATATATATATATATATATAGTTTTTTTTTCCATTCATTCCTTCTTCACTAGGTGTCTTACTAGTTACTGCTGTGACAATGTGACTCCTACTTTTGTCACTGTAGCTCTACCGGAGCCACAGCCGTGCTATTTAATTTCTTGGCTCCTAACAGAGGCCAATACAAGTCATGTTGTGCTTAACGCTCCATTTAACCTTGGACAGCTCTTTCGTTCAGTCCAGCTTGACATTTGTGTTAATGTATAATAAATGTTTTTTAGAACCTATAAGAATATCCCTGGTCCTCGCTGGCAGGTACAGTGTAGGAATGTGCTTCTGTGAAATCCTTGATTGTCGAACACTGACCTACCTACCTACCTGCTGCTGCTTGTGTTGGTGTCAGTAAAGTGCAGACAAACTATGGGTGGGGAATCTTTTTAATTTATGTGATAAAAGCAGGTGTGTCCCGGCAGCTCGGTGCTGAGTAATTAACAGGTTAAAAGGCTGATGTGCTTTAGGCCCATGAGAGGTAGCTGGCCTTGTACTTATTATGCTGAAGTGTCAGAATTACTGATGTGGGTGTGGGTGGAGCCACTGACCGGAGAACAAGAAATGGCACAGTTATCTGCCACTTAACTATTGAATTAGTATAAAGTCAGACTGACGACTTAAGAACACTAAGAATTACCTAACTGCTCACTATTGTTATGAAACCTACTTACACCACCTTTGTTCATACACAATTTAGCTCCAGTAATACCTAAAGAGAAGTCCCAGAAAAAAAGTCCCTCTTTCCTCTGATGGAACTATAGAGTCCTTTTGTATTTTAGGTGTTTCACTGTATAATTACCATGTACAAGAGGTCTATTTGGTCCACTGTGCTTGATTTTCCTGTGCTTCCTCTTTCTCCTGTACGCTAATAAGTTCTAGAAATTCACTCCATGCTGGGGATGTGGACAGAGGAAAGGCTGTGTGTGAGTGCAGACGTACAGTCCTTGGCCACCTGTAGGAAAACAAATTCAACTCAAAACAAGCCAGCAAAGCCCTACTGAAGCGTTAGAGAGGGGTTTGTGTCCTATTGGTCCATATAGAATAAATCCTTGAGTGTTACTCTCAACAATATTATTCTGGTCTGTAGATCACGCTCCCTCACAGCGGGTGTCCATGCTCGATGTTGCGTCAGTTACACAGTTGTTTCGATCTTTTCGATGATCTCTATCATAGACTTGGAGGGGGAGAGCAGAGAGCAATCATCCTGATCCCAGAGGCTGCCAGGGCTGGAGTTCCCATCTGTGCTCAGCTCGTCCTCGTCCTCCTCCTCACTCTCCTCCTCGCAGGACTCCAAGTAGTGCAGGCCCAGCGCGTTGATGCCGGAGTCCTCGGAGCTGGACGGAGAGGAGCAGTGGTCCATTTTGGGGCCTTTTATCTTATCCACGGGGGAGGGATGTTTGTGTTCACTGTACACCTGTTGGACTGGCTGCACAGGTGCAGGTGCAGCAGGTGAGTGTTGGGTTGGCGGTGCAGGCTTCACTGGTTGACGAGGCTGAGCAGGTGTAGTGGGAGCAGGCGGGGGAGGGGTAGGAGGATGAGGTGGTTCTGGTAAGGGAGGCGGAGGGCGCTGCACGTAGCACATCTTTCCGTTAATGCGTTTGACTATGTAGTCGTCCACAAACAGATCCGCGATGACGCAGTACTTGGGCGACTCCAGGTGAGGCGGAGACTGGAAGCATGGGGCGAGCTTCAGGAAGCGCTCAGTCAGCGATACGGACAGGTCCATGGTGTTACTGTACTCTGTCCCAACAGGTGGCACGGCTGTGGTGGGCAGATGGCACACATTGGTCATGGGCTGGTACACATACTTGCCTAAAAGGAGGGAAGAAAAAAACAAACAAAAAAATTGGATTTTAAAGCTGCTATAACCAATATTTTGATATTAACAGTGAATGAAATGGTGATGCTCATATCACCTGAGAAATATCACGTGACCCAGTTTGCCTAAGCTCTAAAGACTCTTGTAGCGTCTTTCAGCCCCAGCAGGCAGCTTTTTTCAGCGAAAAAGCCCTGATCCACGCACTGTGCACTACCTTCTCAGCACCAAACAGCAGACAGACAAAGTTAGCTACTAACTGGTGAACATATTGGAACATTTAGCAGCTAAAGAAACAGATATGTCTTTAGTTGTTAAGACACAAAAACAGGGCTAAAAGGACTACATTCATCAGGTGTCCAGAAACACGACTTCAAATGAATGACAATGTTTTTCTGTGTCCGCTGAACATTTTAAAAAACAAAGTTAGTGTTGTGTTTAAAGTTTGTTTTTGTTTTTTCTTGAAGATTTCAAAAAGTGGCGTTTGTAGGCAGGATGAATAGTGTGTCTCTGATAACCTATCATCTGTCCTTTCTTGGAGGCAGCAGCAATTTTCACATCACAAAGCATTTCATTCTGCCAAAGGCAAAAATACCTGCCTTGCCACCATGAGCTGAGGTTGAGCTGCAGCCAGAGTGTAACATAGTTTAAATTCCAGGCCATCAAGAGCATTGCAGCAACCATTTTGACCCTTACAACTTAGACTTGATTAAAAAATGATGAGATACTGTAATTTATAGGATTAAGATATAACAACGTTTATGGATAGGTATGATGTAATGTACTGTATAGTGTATCATAAATCCTCTATGAGACAAAGACCATACTTGTTCTGGAAAATTGGCCACATTCATATATAAATTGTCTAGCGCCTTCCATGTGAGTTATGCCACCCATTTTGGCAACTCATGTACTGGTGGTGATTGTGCAAAATGACTGCTCCCAAATGTTACTCATTGTTTGCAGCCCACTGCCTCCAACTCTGGGCCGTGCTGCCTTAAGAGTGTGGCTCAGATGTGTGTTTAACTGGCTCCCTGGAGAGAGAGAAACTACAAAAGATGACAGGCCTACGCATCACTTCCCCTCACTCTGTGTCTTTGCCTTTTGTTTCACTGGCTGGGGGACCCACTCAATCAAAATCTTTTCCCAGGTTACATTGAAAACATCAAACTACTTCAAAGTAGGGAAGTGGCTCTGTTTTGCATCGTAAAATGGACAAAGTGACTTTGTAAATCTAATGAGACCTTTTTCCACCACACAAAAGATATTTAGAAAATGAAATAAATCAGCTGAACATTTGTGTTATTTCTTTCCCACAAGAATAGTTTACCTCTTTATTAAAAGGACAGAAAACTGCATCATCCACCCATGTAAAGCGATTAAAAGAGTCTGTGACAATTGCTTGATGTCAGTATACTTTATAAACATAGTTAACACAAAACACAAGAGCTAATGTCGAAATAGACAAAGGGGGAAATGGTAGCCATCCTCCGTTTAATGAGAGAAACTCGATGGTCCATGTTCCGACGGAGACGAGTCAATCCAGGCAGACAAAATAGCGGCAACAAAGAGCTAAAGCTTTGTGTTGACATTTAGTTTTTAGCATATTACATCTAATTGCGTTCATCCATCCGGAGTTTAAAATACCAAGAGCCATACTGGAGGACAGACAGATGCATGGGCAGACAAAACAGAAAGACATATGGAGCTAACACTACACCATCACTCGGTTGTCCTCAGAGTACTGCAGAAGGAACACAGCCTGTCTGTGGATTTACAAGGTGTCTGCAGAATGCAGAATGAGTTTGCACTAAGTTAGAATTATCACTGTTTCTGTCAGCCCCAGAGGAGAGTATGTAATCTCACAATGGAGAAGAGGAGAATCTTCATGTCATGTTTTCTAATACAAGAACTGGATGCTCTAATACTCAAATACTAAAAATATTCGGATTATTACAAATACTATACGATTACAAAATCTGTTACTCTTACAAATACTGTAGGTGGTGGTAATTTATTTGTCATGAAAATTAATTAATGTAGTTTGATAAACAAAGAAAAAATGTCAACCATTTGCAGGTTTCACCTACTCAGATATGAGGATTTGAAGCTTTTCTGTGTAACACATGAAATTATATCTTAGGATTTTGGACTGCTGATTAGACAAAACAAGACATCTTAAGGCGTCACCTTGCGCTCGTAAGTTTTTATTACTGTTTTCTGACATTTTGTAGATAAAGTGATTATTAGATTAATCAACATTCCAACATGCTAACACTAGCAATGTGCCCACAACGGTAGAGTAAAAGAAGGCTGCAGGCTCACAAAACATGGACGTGAATAATTTAACAACAACAATGGATGTAAAGAAAATTTTGTTTATTTACAAGAAAACTCAACAGGGCAACTTTAAAATTAAATTACTGTTAAAATGTTAGCTACTAGAAATCCTGCATGTGTGTCAACTGGGAGCAACATTGTCCAACATATATGCACTCAACAATAGACATATATAATAATAACAAAAGTCACAACAAATCTGAACTGATGAGCTGAAGTACAGCTATGGTTCCTGTGTCCTTTCACTGTTCAGACTATCCACTAATAAAAATACAAACATTAACTGGCAGCCAGTCAACACTGTCAATGCAGATTCATTGATATTCAGTTGTACTCTACCCCTCTGTGTTTCCCAGTGCTGGATCCCTCACATGACAATGTCAGCGGCCTCTGCAACCTCTCCCTCCCTCGTGTGCATCTGTGCGTGTGTTTGTATTTCCATACTAACAAAGACCAGATGTCCGCAAAAAGAAAGAACAATATTGCGAAATTCTACAATAGGACATGTTGCCATCCCTCACTTCTTGGTTTAGAGTCATGACATAAAATGTTTTCCTAAAATGGTGAAGCTGCTATTATATTTTTCTTATAGTCAACAAATCCCACAAAAAAACAAACAAACAAATCCAACAACGTGTTAGTTCATCTCTCAATACTTTCTGACTTTCCTACTCTGCCTGCATCTTTCAATTTGGGTCATTAATATTAGTTTAAGATAGACACGCATTAGGTTTCAATATATAGCTATTTAAAAATAAATAAATAAATAAAAGCTAAATCATTTCCTGCTTGGCACTGTGGTTTCAAGCACATGTTACTTAGAAAAGAGGAAACATTTGTGGACTATCTTCCATGGATTAATGCACATTTAGTGGGCTGAGTATTTATGGCAGCAGGATGGCACAGAGGAATAAGCTATAACAGGCTCTGGCTGCACAGAAAATACTTGTTTGGGTCTTTTAATGGGAGTACAACATGTAGAAAATCACCAGACTTATTCTTTATTAGAGAAGGGTTAAAAAGCAAAAACACCCCAAAAATTTTACAAAATAGCTACTGGTGATGTATCTAACAATTTTTTGACTTTTTGTTGTAATGCAGTGTATTTTCATCTTCCTAAAGATAACTGGCCAAACATAGACAACGTGATGTTACCAGACATTTCCAGCTCTGCTATGAAGAAGATTGACAGAATAAAAAGAAGCGTCAACAGTAAATGTAAGGGTTTTGAGGCAGTGCTTCAGAATCAAAAATAGGAGCTTCTCTGCAGACCCACCACTTTACACCTACAATCATACTGAGAAAAATCAACTGCAGAGGAAACACAGACACAATGTTTTCCACTGACAGCAGCCTCAATAGACCAGAATAATATTAGGCCACAGGACATGTTGCACTTTGAGTAAAGCAAATGACTCCTTTCTTTTTCCTCAACTGGAAAGCCTTTCATCACGTTATCATTAATACAGCTGAAAGCAACAAGTTCATTGGAGACAGATGAAAGGAATTCTGGGGGATGTAGGAGACTACCGAAAGGAGATGTAAATGAGGATGTTCGGTACATCAAAAGAGAAAGTAACAGCTTTTCATTACAAAAGTGCAATTATGAATTCAGGATATCTACAGTTTAAAAGCGAGGTGGAGGTGACTCTTTCTCTTACTTTGACAGTCAGGAAATGAACTTTGTCAGTGGAAATACAAAGAAAGGTGTCCAAAGATATCACAAAATATCTAAACATCTGCAATATACACTAGGGAAACGTGAGATTCAGTATTAGCTTAATTTAAGTGTTGGAACAAGGTGATATATACAGCCAAAGGATGTTTTTAAAAATACAAAAATGGGGAAAACAGGAAGCTCATTCCTGCAAAGTTACAGATTGTTCACTAGACGAGGGAGCAGAGTGGAGGAGGTATGAGGAGGTCCAAATCTTCTGCTCCTACCTTGCATGTCTTCTCCACTCTCTCCTGGGTCTGTTGCTGGCCAACAGCTGCACAGTCCCATTTAATAGAGATAGTCTCTCTGAATAATGCAGCATGGGGTCTCTTCACTCTCTCTCTCTCTCTCTCAGACATTGTCACATTTCAACGTATATTTAACGTAGTACTCAAGATGAATGGGCATGACTGTCTCACACAGATTGTCATTTAAATATCAGCTTATATCAAAGCCTCAGTAGAGGCTGAGTCATCAACCCCCTCAGTTCGATTTTTTGTATGTCTGAGCAGAAGCCAGCAGTCTTTATGTGCAGACTGAGCAGATCTTCTACTGTAAATGCAACACACTAATTCAAAGCAGCATGTTGGCAAAACCAGGTGAACAAAAACAATTATTTTAGCAGATTGTCATCATTTATCAACAGCTGCTGCACCCATTTGACTGGTGAATACGGTAAGCTCACACATCCGCTGCTCTTTGTGTTTAAATCTGTCCCAACAAAGGCACTGCAGCCGGGGCAATAACATAAGTTTCAGGTTTCAGCCAAAGGGGACGGTCTGAACAAGCATCATGTGAAACTCCTTTCCTGTTTCCTGTCTTATATCCAGATTGAAATCCACTGTTTAGTCTGTCACCATGGTGAAAAAACGCAACCCTCTGGACTGTTTTTCCTGAGCAAAGGGAACAAGTAAGCCCCAAATCTTGTAAAGGCATTAAAAGCCTGGTCTTAAGACAATACTCACATGCCCAAATGTACTTTTAAAGAGTAACTGAAGAGAAACTGCCTTTCTCACAGCAGACATTTTGACTTGTCACAGCAGGAAAAGCACAGGTGTTACCATCTTAGTAAGTCATTGCAGTGTGACAGTGAGCAAGCATGCACAATACCATGACCCTGAAACTGAATCAGCTAATTGGAATTCAGCCATTATTAACTCATTAACATGTGACATGCCAAAATGTCTTCCTGTGAAAATTGTTGTTCGTTAATGCAAAACGGGGGAAGCTAGCAAGTTGCTCTGAACGTATAATTATGGCACCAAATCATCTGAGAAGTAGCATTTAGATTCAACTCTGTACATAGTAAAAATCGTTGATAAAAGTTGAGGCTGTTTGCTGCCAAAAGGCATCACCACAACAACAAAGCATTCTAAAGTTCAGCTCAAAGCTAATATGTGGCTTCAGCGGTCTAAGTTCAAATCGAGTGGTATCATCTTTGTATTTTCTCACTGAGCCGTGATGAGGGGACAGTAACACAAACAGGGAATGTGGTATTGTATTAATACAGACTTGAAAATAATCTGCAACAATCCTTTAAAAACAAACATTTGTTTATCGCTAAACCTGTTTCCATCATTTGAAGAGGTGTATTTCCCCAAACATGAACAATCAATCAAAAAACATCCCTTCATGCCTGTGCGGACAATATATTGATCATACAATAAGATCTGAAGCTTTTTATTCTTCAGCACCCCGGTACATTTTGAATTGGTCACCAGATCAATCAATATAGGGCAGAGCTTCATCCAATAAGCCTTCATATTTCCCTTTAGAAATAGCTGCATCTACAAGAGAAGTACAAGTTCTAACATACAAAACTGGAGCTGACAGAGCACAAGTGGACTGACAAGACAGTTCAGGACTCATTAGACTCTGTTAGACTTTTTTAATTAGTAATTCATTGCTCTGTCTGGTAATTGTAATCAGTTAGTAGAGGACACAGAGAGAGAGAAAAAGATTTCGACCAGGTGGTTCCAGTTTCGCTGTGAGCAAAAGCTCTCATCAGACATGACATATTGGTGGTGACACTAAACACAGTTAATTACCGCTAATGAGAGGCTTGGACTGATGTTGTCACCAGCTGGGAACATGGCCTCCCACCTACATCCAATTCCAGTTTCCTCCATTTTCTCAACCAAAGGTTAACCAAAGCTACAACTTAGTGGAAACTACTGGAATGCCGTCAAAGCAATGACATCATTTTTTTTACTGTAGACTGCAAATCATTAGAGCCGTCCCAGAGCAGAAACTGAGAGGAAGACAACCTGAAGATGTTAAGTCACAGGTAATCACTCCATCCTGCTCCGCTGGTAAGATAACGAAAATAATTTGTGTTTGGGAATTTTAATGCTGAGCCAAGTCACATTGACCTTTGGTATCTGTTTGCCTGGAAACCTATTAAAAATGTAATTAAAAACGCAGTCTAGCAAGGCTCCCTGTGGTGAATGCACAATTATCAGCTTCAGAACAAGTTTATACTCCAGGCGACAGTCACAGGCACGTTCGAAATGAAAATGTGCCGAGATAAGGGGTGTTACAACATTTCACTCTTTGCATCTGGCGTTTTTATGCATCGCTAGAAAGAAGGGCGTGAGCCAAGCAGAGCAGGCGGGCGTTGCATGCAGAAGCACTCTGCTGCTATACTTTTCTCATTGGGTGTCCTGGTTCTGCCTGATTCAGCAGTCTAAGCTGGTTTATTCTCACTGTGCTGCATCACTGTCCTGCGAGGGCAACCTGTGAATTACAGTGGAAAGCGATGTGAAGGTGAGAAGCTCCATTATGATGTGGCTGGCTCTTCCTTCTATACAATAACAAACCCGAATTAAGTAATGGGGACAAAGCGCTCCATGTCCACCGTGCAGCACATATTCAGCCAGAGTGGTTAATATTTCAAAGCAGAAAGGAGGAGCAAATCTAAATGTTTACAAATGATGTAACACTGAGCAGGCTTTGCCGTGAAACATAAATCTCAGACGTAGCTCTAAATAAACACTTTTTTCGGCCACATCAGATATCTCAAATCGTTTGGTTCATTCTGGGCGCAGGCAGACATCTAAATCCAATGATTACATGGCAAAGATTACAATGTGACTTCTGCAGTTGCACACTATAAACACCCCGACTGACTGCTGAAGGGTGGATGGTTGATTGTGTTTTACACTGATCTGAGGATTTTCAGGGCAGCCGGCAATGGGATAAATTAGGGCAGTGCAAAGAGTCCTCCTGTCAGGTTCAGGCACAGCTATTGTGAATCTGTGATGGTGTCAAAGTGTCGGAAAGGGTTCAAATTGAGAGAAAGTGTCTGAGGTACATTGGTGGTGAAAATGTCAATGACACTTCTCAAAGTGAAAAGAAAATCGCGCACATTTGAGTGGAGCTGCTGCCATGTGCTGTATTACCAATATAGTCTATTCAACAGTCAGTATAAATTATACTTATATTCATTATATTGTGGTAATACAATTTAGTTCAATTAATATTATCAAACATTTGGCCTGTAACTGAAGAATAGCAGCTGCTGAACTTCACTGACTGCTTGACTTTCCCTGAACATGTGAAGATTTTGTGGCCCAAAGGTCTGACTTTAAAGGATAATGATAGTGATATTCTAAATTTTTCTTACTGTTAACATGAAAGACATGAAACAACAGTATGTTAGTTAATCTCTCAGTACTTTCAGACACTACTGTCTGTAGCCCATCTTTATATTTGGGTCAAAAATACGTAGTTAGTAAGGCTAAATTATTTCCTAAAACAGATGGGCACTGTAGTTTTTATCAAACATTACTCAACCAGGAATAAATAGTGCATGTCTTGGGGACTATTTTCAGCTGTGGGTTAATACACATTTGGTGGACTAGAGAGTATCTACTACACTTATATTGTGTGGATGAGTGACCTAAAATAAACTACAGTGCCCATGTTTATCATGATGAAGAAATAATGTGTTTAAAACGGTCTTTGACACAGAGGAACAAGCTATATCAGGCTTTGAATACACAGGCAACACTTCACACAAGCAACCAATTCATTGTTGGTTTTGGTCTTTCCATGCTGTGAACAGTTGTTGTTGACAGTAAGGAAAATATAGAATATCACAAGATGTTTCCTTTAAAGAAGAAATGAAAGTGATGACTCAAGCGAGTGACGTAACTAAGCATTTTCCAACGCATCTCCAAAAACAGAAAAGGAAGGTTAATGGGTGATCAAATGCATTTCTGCATTCATGCATTTTTTACATTTCTTTAGGTGCATTTCTTCATAGGCTATATAGGCATATTTAGGATGGAGCCAATGTGTGAAGGACACATTCTTGATATAACACAGACAGATGTGTTCATAACCATAACCTAGGCCAAGGCCTACTTGAAGTTCAGTACAAAGTGAATTGGAAGACACAGCAATATCAAAATGTACAATTATTTTTGTTATTTTAGTGTTTTCACTCCTTAAGGCCTTTAAACTTGAATTAGTTGTCTTTTAGATGCATGCAATTACTGAGAAAGAATTCAACATCATTAGAATTATAATAATCTGTGCACTGCAACAAAAAATTAAGAGTGTTCAAACAATAGGGACACTCAAGGACTGTATTGATACAATCAGTTTTTAGTCACTAAATGTTCATGGCATGTACTGAATTAGTATACTTACAGTATGGGCTGGATATAAAAAAAACTGTCCACACAAAAAACAAAACAAAACCAGAAGATGAGCAGCAAACACTGAAACCATGACCCTGAAGCATGAAATTCCCTTCCTTCTGAATATCGCAGCCTCCATTGTTTAGACTACATTAACTATTCATAAAAGGGCGTCTAAATGAAGGTTTGACTCTGATCAAGGATAAATGTGACTCTAGGTTTGACCTCAATATTGTTGCAATGAACAGGACTTAAATCGATTTGGAAGTTTGATCTAAAATGAAATAAATCCAATAGGGCAGCAAATATTTCCCTCTGAGCAAGTCTGAAAAATCAGTTTGATATCCAACCTTTACATAACCTCTCACAATGTGTCACATTTTGTTATAGCGTATCAAAATCCAGTTAATGTAAAGCTACATTTTGTCATTTTTAATTGATACACAGAATGAATAGTCTAAAGTGAGCCGATGCTTCTGCATTCACTACATGGCCATGACTATCAGTATATTTAGCCATCAGTGACAGTGAGATAGATTTCTGGTAATACAGAAAGCTATTAAACCATGTAAAACATACTTACAGTGACACCAGCCCAAGTGGCAGCACCAGTGCAGCTTGAAGCACTTCCCGTGGCTGTGAGTAGCGCAGATGGAGAGTCCATCACAAGGCAGGAAGTCTGGTCTCCCCGCGCAGCTCTTGGCCAAAGCCTGCGCCTCGTCCAACTTCTCACTCTTCGGACACTTCTGTGCTCCCGAGGCGGCCATGCCAACATTTCTTGGATCCAAACAAAAACAATAAACAAGAACGCACACCGCTTCTTCCTAGTGAACTACAACATAACCGAAAGGACCGAGCCGAGGTTTTACGGTCCACGTAGCTCAGGAAGCTTTTCAAGTGGGAGGCAGACGCGAAAGACGGTGCAGGATCTCCGTGTCCAGCTCATCTGGGTATACCACTCACTCACACAAAGGGTGGAAACATATACCGTAAAAGCAGAACATCGTCAGTTAGCTAGGATATGTGTAATGTCATATTCAACGCCTCCCATGGTCGTGATCCACACATCTCTCCTTGCTCCCCTCGCGTCGGGAAGCTCCTCTGTGCGCTGGTGACGCGCGTACGGAACAACGGCGCGCATCTGAACTTCATCACACAACGGGAGGAGTCCACAAACACAAAGCCAGCTGCTCTGCGCACTTCAAACACATCCAGGCTTTCATCGGCCCCTCTAAAAACTTCAAAACGCCAGGGTCTTGATCTGAAATAAATAAGTGAATCCACCGAAAGATATTCGCAAATAGGCTAAATATTCGTTCGGAATATCTGATAATTATATAACCTTGGTAATAACTCAGAGAAATATAGATTATTTAAAAAAAAATTGGGGGGCGGGGGGGTCATGCATAAATCTTCCATTAAACAATGAAAGGTACAGAACTAGTGTAGTTGCAGACAAAATGGAGCATCGCAAGCTGCTCAGTCTAGAGCCTTCAGCCGCTAGATGGCAACCCCAACATCTGCTCGTTGCTGGGTGTGAGATTTATTTAGGAATGAGCCATTGATTTATATAAAAGCAGTTTAGTGCTTTGCGTCTCCCTCAGCTCTCCCCCGTCACCGCTGCAGCTGGGTCAGCAGAAAAAGAGACACACACCACGCGGAGAGCAGATTTCATTTATTCCTCCAAGGAAGATCTTTGAGGAAACGAATCAAATGAGATGTCGCAGTTACCTGAATATAGCCTACTGATGGTTAGAACAAACCAAACAATAGCTAAAGTTAATACTGTGTAAGAACTCCACACAAATCACAACAACAAACATTAAGTATAACATGTCATGTTGAGGCATCAGATGATGATGTAGATGAGATTTGTTACATATTGTACATACAGTAAAAAGTGTACCACTAGATTACCATGATTCACAACCAAATAAGCCTAATATAGGAAAATCTTTTATGCAAATGTTGCAACTGGTGAAGCATGATTTATTACATTTTAAAACCCCTTGGTCTAACTGTAAATTGTGTTCTGGAGTGAAATATTTTATTACAGAATTAAACAATATATTCACTGACTTACCAGTTTCTTAGACACATTTGTCCAATTCCAATACAACAGCCCTGCAACACATCGAAAGCTTGTCATGTCAAGCAGACTCTTTGTTAAAGAGGGGGTTCATGCAGCTTGGTTATGGCAGAGTGGTTGCAGTACACAGAAAGTTGTTTCTAGTATTATGACAACAAATGATACAATCAATGTATTGCAAGTTGAATCAACATCTCCATGCAATGTCAACACAAACTCTTTAAGCTTCATAAAAGGTAGGATTTATTCCAGGGCTGTTGAATTCCATTATATTGTTGAGGTGTACCTAATAAACTGGTTACTCAGTGTAGGCTCACAGTCAGAGATGATTATTAATCACAGAAAGCCCAGCAGCCTTTCATAATAATCCATAATCACACATACATACGTGTGTGTGTGTGTGTGTGTGTGTAAAAGATCAGTATAATCATTAACATTACAAGATCCTCATTATTCAAGTGAGTAAAGACATTAAAGCTGAAACATGTGAGATTTAAAGCTGGCTGTGGAGTTTCTTGATGACTTCCCTCCAGCTGTGGACAGGGGGGCTGCCACTGGCCACCAGCCTCCTGAGAAGGCTGCAGGGTTGCAGATATGGTACATCAGGGTGAGCATGGTGGTAGTGCTCCAGCCTCTCCAAGACCTTTGCCAGCCCTACCATGCCGGCGTAGAACATGGGACCTCCACGGTGGCTGGGCCATCCGTAGCCAAACACATAGATGACATCAATGTCTTCGGGTCCTGCAGCTATTCCATCCTCCAGGATGCGGAAGCCCTCGTTGATTAGGGCATAGAGGCAGCGCTCCAGCACCTCCTGGTGGTCAATGCGGCGTGCCACCAGGCCGTTCCGGGCCCGGTACTCCCTTAGGAAGGTGTGCAGCCAAGGGTCAGACATGGCAACCCGACTTCCAGGTTTGTCATACTGGTACCATCCCTGGCCAGTTTTTTGGCCAAACCGTCCCTGCTCACAGAGCAGATCCCCCAGGGGGCTGTACCTGCGGCCCTGCCGGATTCTAGCTGATTGACCGCTAGGCTCCGCCAGCCCGTCTCCCTTTCTGACTCGCCAGCCCACGTCGAGCCCAGAAAGGTCAGACATTCTGAACACGCCCATGGCAAAACCAAACTCCTCCAGCACTCCATCTACCAACTCAGGTGTAGCGCCCTCCTCCAGCAGAAAGAAAGCTTGTTCGATGTATGGCTTCAGCATGCGGTTCCCCACAAACCCCCGGCAGTTACCAACAGCCACACTGACTTTGCCCATTTTCTTTCCCAGTTGCATGGCAGTGGCAACAGCTTGAGGAGAAGACCGTGGCCCGTAGACCACCTCCAGCAGCTTCATGACATGGGCCGGGGCAAAGAAGTGCATACCGACCATCAGCTCGGGGTTGCGGGTTTGTGAGGCCAGGTGGTCCACGTCTAGTGCAGAAGTGTTTGTGCACAGGAAGGTGCCTGGTTTACAAACGGCAGACAGCTGTTGGAAGACTTTTGTCTTCAGGGCCATGTCCTCAAACACAGCCTCGATGACCAGATCGACGTCTGCTACAGCCTGGATTTTCCGGCTGTAACTGATCCCATCTAACGCAGGAGCCACCCCATGTCTCTTAGCTCCTCGCTCCAACATTCCGGATATTGCCTGCTTTGCCTCCATCAACTGCTGCTCTTGGGTCTCCACGGCAACCACAGACAACCCTGTCTTAGCCAGTGCCACTGTTATGCCTCTCCCCATGGTGCCAAGACCTTAGAGGACACAATGACATGGTGAAATGCCTCAGTATCACAAGTCACGCTAAAATATCACAGATATTTCTGACCAAAAAAAAATGACAGTATATAAACAAGTATAAGTCACAGAAACTTTTGTGCACTATACACAAGGCTACACTGTCCATAGTTTTAGACTGGCAGCATAAAGTTTTTCCAAAGCTTGCAATTTTAATGCGCAAGCTGCTGAGCTTCACATATCCAGATTGTCATACATCCAACCTTCTCTGCAGGGAAGAGACAGTTCATGCATTTACACTGAGCTGAACTGTAAATGGGGGCTTAGCTTCCACAGGCAACATGAATTTGGAGATGCCACACAGATAGCTTGATGAGTCAACGTGCTTGTGCTTATTGAAAGCTCAAACAAATAGAAATTAAAAGCCCAAAGCTCTTACCAATGACAGCGGCTTTATGTATAGGTCTGGGCTTGCTTGTATCCCACTGAGCTCCACTGGGCATGCTCCACCTGCCAACGGCTCTCTGAGCAAAGAAACAGTATTGCAGGGCATGGGCCTGGCCTGAGGTGAAGAGAGTGGCCATCAGTGCTTTCTCCCGCTCCATGCCCAGCGTGTAAGGCAGGGTGGCGGCTGCCCGCACCGCTTGGACACACGCAACTGGTGCTATAGCTCCGCGGGAACTCTGACGCACCTTCTGCATCACCCCCTCAAACAGAGCATCCAGATCAGACAAGCGTGGACACGGATAAGTGCTTATACGGCGGGCATCCAGGGACCGACCTGAAATAGAAACATGGAAGAAAAGTGACTCCAGAGAAATGACTTTTTTACTTGCAGTTCTTTCACTGTTGCTGTTAGTTAAAAGTTTCGAGTAAATCAATGATTTATTCTGGAATGGCATTACTGTACGGCAGCATAATTTTATTTTGTAAACTGAGCAGTGCTTCCTAGTTTCCATTAATGCTTTTTTCCTACTTTGTCAGCCAGCACTCTAGTCTGGGTATAATTGGCCACTCAATCACTAGATACCCCAGTAGCTTCTAAGAGTAGAGTGATTTGACAGACCATTTCCAAGATAATTGGAGGGACTCTGCCAGTGCACTATTACAGTTCACCTTGAAAAACACAGATCTGAAACGAAATGAAAATCAACTATTTGTTGGGGGGGGGGGGGGTTGGTGATTCCCAGGCTTGTTAAACTACATCAGAAGATTTAATATTAGAACCTCAGCAGTTTACAACACAACTGTTTGCAGTGAAATAATCCTGGGAACAATGAGAGTGAAGAAAGAGGCCACTCTGCTACAACCTTATTAGAAGCATCTTAATTCCCATTCCTGTCTCCTCTGACATGATTACATGAGACAGTAGTCAGAATCCTTTACAGCTCCACTGAATTACACTCAGCCGTGGGTCTGGGCCAGAAACTGGGTCACCATGGCAAAGCTTAAAGGGACAGCAACCAAATCTGATCGGTTATCTTTACTTAGTCCAACAACTAACAATTTTATTGAATACATTTGAGTCAGTATCAATACATGACGGAAAAGAACGAATGGTGATGGTCATTTCAGGTTATATAAATGTACATGTTCACACCGAAATGCCAAGGAGATTCTGTGTGGCAGTGCAATGTCATTCCAATGTACTTTAGGAGGGCATTATTATAGCAGTTAATCTGTAAAATGGTTGAGCTGTGTCAATGGATTTGTTGTGCAGTGAGTGGAAAGCCTGGTCGTCCTGACAGATGTAGCGGGCAGATGTTGAAACTACTGGGGTAAAAAAAGTTAATCTCGTCACCAGCAGAGACTTGACTCGTGATCGTGACATGTGTGGAGAGTGTGTGTGTGTGTGCCCACACATGCATCAGTGCACAAGTGCACAAACTGCTTTTTGCTTAAATATGTGACCCATGTGCCAGCTTTACTGCTGTGTAGTGTTTTATGGTCGCATCTATGGATGTGTCAGACTAAATCTATCCTGTGCTGGTACCATCTCAGTGTCAAATAAATTCACACTTGGTTTGTAAATTTAGACACATTTCCTGTCCCCATTTAACACCCCTGCTAATCAACTCAAGACTGGAGTATCCGTCAGAATCGCCACAGATTTCAGTCCCATTTCCTCAAATCTCCCATCTTGTATGCTGTTGGCTTCTCTGTCTGACTCGCTCTAAGCCTCAGCTTTACTAACAACACTCACTTTCTCACCCACTCAAAGTCATCTTGGCAGTGTTGTGTGGGAAAAAGGCATTTGTAAAAAAGCATAAGACTGCAATCATCTTTTGATTGTGAAATGTTGTTCTACACGCAATGCTGTAGACTTACTGTTGACATTTTGCACAGTTCTAGTGAGTTTGTTTGTTAAAGCGCAATATTAGTCAAACTAAACGCCAAGTGAACTGGCAACAAACATTTGAAGGTGACATCTCTGAAAGATGTAACAGTGTAGTCACAAAAACATATTTTCATGTTGATATCATGCATAAGAATCAAAGGCTGTACAACCAGGGCTTTGCTTCTACAAGGCTGAACAAATAAACTTTCCCCTCATGTACTCTGATAATGTTTACTCAAACAAAACACACAGCAGAGTGGTTGGTTATTGGTTGTGTATTAATTTACAATACCAGAGGGGTTAAAAAGTTTGCCTAAAAGTAACAATTTGCCGATTTTAGAAATAAGCTTATTCACACTCTTGCTGAGAGTTAGAGGAGAGGTTTGATACCACTCTCATATCTGTATGTTAAACACGAAGCTAAAGCCAGAGGATGGTTAGCGTAGCTTAGTATAAGACTGGCAGCAGGGGAGAAACAGCTAGCCTGGCTCTGTGCGCCCAGCCAAGAAATAGTCAAGCATGTAACAAAACTACAACTTGTTGTTTTTCCACTGGTTTTTGTACAGATTAAACGTGTTAGTGAGCTTTAGAGGTGCTGCTGAAAATCATCCTCTGCACAAGTTATAAGCAGCACTGCACAAATTTAAGCATTGCAGAAAAATTCACAATAAATCAATCTTAAATGTTTAATTTTTAATTCAAGCTGAACCTTCTAGTGTCTGTCAGTATTGTAACAATGTAGCAAATCTGAATGGGATATCCTTTACTCAGACCGAGTCCTCCTAAACTGCAGGGACGTGGCACACTTTAGCAATCCATTCAGTGGGTAAATGAGTCGGATTCACGTGCAGAGGGAAAGTCCTCATCCCCCTACATGAGTGGCAAGGGTCCATTATTAATATTCTAGGAAAGTTTGTCCCTTTTCGACCTTCTGAATAATACAGCAAAAGCAGTGAAGACATCAGAGCACATCTGACAGAGCCATGAAACATTTATGGCTTCTGTGGTGGAGAATCTGCCTGCCGTGTTTTCTGCTTCCTTTGACTTCCACAACCTACATGTCGGCACTTCTTGATGTCAGGCCCAAAATAACTGCTGGGAGGGATTTCTCGTCCCTCCGCTGACTTAACTTTTATACCAGTGAAGAGTGTGTGGATTTCATACCAGTGGGTACCTTGTGCTGGGTTTTGTGTCTCACCTACAACACTCAAGGCAAACTTCACAGCTGCATCCACAGTGTTGTGATCAGTAACCTGATCCACTATTCCAAGTTGCAGTGCCTCAGCAGCAGTCACATGGCGGCCTGTGGGAGACATGAAGGGCGTCAAAGGTCTAATTGGGTGACATGTGACATTTCAAATTAGCAGATGAGGAATAACAAGCTGTCCAGGTGGCTTAGTGGTTAAGACAAACCCCTGTTAGATTCTGACATTTATCAAATAAAGACAAAATGCCACAAATACAAACAGCAAATTGTAGTTTGTCTAAATTTATTTATTATATGAACAGAGCAGTGAACCACACAAATGGCTTCTCTGGCAGTGAGCATGGTAAAACTAAACATATGCTGACCTCTTCTGGTCATCAGAGGAAACTCAAATGGGTAACAGCAGCTGCACTCTGGTGTATAAGGTGTATGTATAATCAACAGATCTGCCAAGTCAATCTTAATAATTCATTTTCATAACTATAATATGCAGGGACATCTGCATGTTGCGTTCCTTTTATACCACCACTAATATACAAACAGAACCCAGTAAGAAAAAAGGTGCCTCATTTTTATTCATACTTCCCTGTTCCTAGTAGGATCTGAACTTCTATTGTCTGTAATAGTCAGGAAAGTTTAACCCATCTTTGCTACCTGTGGTGATGAGGTCTAAGGCAGCTGGGATGCCGATGAGCCTTGGCAGACGTTGGGTTCCCCCCGCAGCTGGCAGCAGACCTAGAGTCACCTCTGGAAGCCCCAGTCTGGCCTGAAAGACACAAAGGCATAAAGTTTGATGAATGGAAGGTGATAAACTGTGTGAGCTGTGAGACAGCTTTCTCTGGCCAGAAAATACATTAGATGAATTATTACATGCCTAGAGGGGTAAAAAAAAATCTTTTACATGAATTAAAAATGTGCAGTGGTCAAACCATCCATCCATCCATCATCAACCGCTTATCCTGAGTACAGGGTCACGGGGCAGTGGTCAAACACGTTTTTAAAAAAATTAACCATACAAAATTGAACGGGTCCTATTTCTAAAAACTCTGCAAACATAGTAATTCAATGAACAGTCACTCTGTAACATGTAAGACACCACTGTCAGTTAGACACTGTCGCAGGTTGACACTGACAGAGTGACAGAGAGAGATCTGAAGAATGAACTAACTTTAGAGTGGGCGATTCGATAATGACAGCCAAGTGCCAACTCAAGGCCTCCGCCTAAAGCGCTTCCCTCTATGGCTGCCACCACCGGCTTATTTGCAGCCTCGATGGCGTGGATCATCGGTACCAGTGGAGGCCCGGACATGTTTGTCCCAAACTCCTTGATGTCTGCCCCTGTTATAAAAAATGAAATTGATGATGCTGTCAGGGGTTCAAACTGTAATATGAGGTGCATCTGGTTAAGCAAAAATGTGTGTTTTGTGGATGTTATATTGAGGGATTCCCATATACACCACAAGGCTCATAAATATTTTTCAATAATTCATGTTTATTAAATAACACATAGTTGCACTTGTTATTTAATAAACTTGAACTGTTCTATAACTATAACAATATTTATACCAGCCTCTTTGGTTGCGATGATTTGTCATAATGTGACTCCTGCTCTCATCAGCATTCGTGAAGGTATTTTTGTGAATGCTGTGCATGCAGCATTTCTACGTGTTTCTGCTCCTTATTTATTTATTTATTATAATGATGTCTGATACTTTTTACATGCATTTTATTATTTACTGTTTCTATACTGTGTTGTCCAGTTTCTTTCTCCTGTCTGGTGTGTCGTTTTTGTCTTGCTGCATCTGAGATACCAAACAGAATTTCATTGTATCGATTACAATGACAACAAACTTCCTTATGTCCTTATGTTTTAGATGAAATCTGGTTCCAATTTATATAAAACAAGGGTAGAAATATCCTCTCTCTTTGTTTACTCCCATGGTTGCTTCCAGGCTGAAGTGTATTCCGCAAACCACCACAATACGACACAAATTATAACATTTAAATTCATGGAAACTGCTTTTCCTTCACAATGTGTTGCTTTGAACCAGTTGTAGTCAACAAGAAACATTTTTAGTAGTTTAACTAGGGAAACTTACATATATAACAATTCAAAGTAGTGCAGTGACAGACTTTTAAAATATGTGCTTCAAATGTACTAGATAATGACATTCAAGTTAGATTAAATTGTTTGACTGATAATTAACTGGAATATTATTAATTTGAATTTTATAGCTGTAAGTTGTGCCTTTTCAAAAATCTTATCTCTGTCAAATAAGGATGGTTTACAATTGAAAGTGACAATAACAACAACTGATTTGGGGTTGTGTTGCCATTGTGAAGTTACAGGAAATAGAAAAACATACCTCCGCAGAATACTCCATTCTGGCCACAGATGACCACAGACTTAACCTTTGGGACACTGAGTGCTCTCTCCACCGTATCAACGATGCCCTGCCTCACTGCTGCACTGTATTAAAAAAAAGACACATGTTCTTACATGATACTGGATTTACACTATCGCTGAAGTCAACTTTTTTGTTACACTTTAAATTGTTATCAGCCAGGCTTTAGGGACAGTACAGAACTTTCTGCTCTACATTCTTTACAAATTTAAGGATAAAATTTAGATATAAACAAACAGTCATGAAAAGGGGCACAGTGGAATCTATTAAATTCGGCATATGTGCATTATTTAGAATTTCACATCAATTATATATGGAATATGTTTCTGTAAAATGGGGCAGTGGTGGCCTAAAAAGAAAAGTGGGGAGGATCAATCTTTGCAAAATCGCCCCTCCCTATATAGCACAACTGAGGTGCCCTTAGGCAAGGCTTTTAACCCTTAACTGCCTTAGAAGAGCTCACTGACCCACAGATCGGGTTTGTTTGTATGTGCAATACCATAGTAATATACTAAGTAAAAGTCCTGAACTCAAAATTGTACAGAAGTATAATCTGGAAAATTTAAAGTATCAAAAGCAAATTCATATATTCTGGATTCATTACACATAAAGTGAAATATTTCAAGCCATTTTGTTTTAATCTTCATGATCTAAGCTTTCAGCCCATGGAAAATCTATTGTCTCAAAATATTGAAGAATAAAGAAATTATAATACAGAAATGTCGCCCTGAGAAAAGCTGTAATAAGCTAACTCAAAACATCTGCAAAGGTTTCCTGAGCCTTTAATCTCTCAGTCTGGTTCTGTGAAGTGCAAATGGACTTTTCTACGATATTCAAATGTTTTTTATGAATCTGTAAAGTCCTTGTACTTAGTTACATTTCACCACTGATATAGATAACAAAGCGCACACACATATGCACACTTGGACGGCTCTGAGTCTATAAAAGGCCCCCAACATATATGTTTGCAGTAAATTCTCTTCCCACACGATATAAAAATGTTTAACACCACACCAAAGACACTCCGCAGCCTTGTTTTTGACTTCAGCTCACCTGAGTGCGTTAACAGGCGGATTTTGGAGAGTAATCAAGCCAACAGCCCCCGAAACAAGAGTATATTGAGCCATCGAGCCCGTCGATCAAACACTGCAAGTTATCGCACTTCTTTTAGGTTGTGCAGACTGAACTTTGAAACTTCGCTGCTGCTGGCAGGAATACATCACCTTTATTACAATTTTACTCCATGAAGCCAAACGGTCTTTTTCGTCTTCTCGGTTTCTGCTGTCTTCTGGCAACCGCTGGGAGCACTACCCCACCATCTGGCGTGGAGGCTAACAAAAAGTGTAGATTTGAGTTTTATAGTAATAAGTTATCTGTCTCTCAGTGAAGGTGTAGTTACAACTCTTACTAATGTAAGATGGAAAGCATGGGATTCACATTGACTTTAAAATGTTGATTAGTAGCACAGACTGAGCAATACGGATGCACATCTCTCAGTAAATAATAAACATCACTTATTCAGTCAGTCAGTAAAATTAGGGCTGGAAAATAATACAATATTTTTCCAGCCCTAATTTTCCAGCCCTAACCCAGATAGCAAGACTACATTGAATAATATTGATAAAAAAATGTTGAATCAGTATCAGTAATACAGATGAAAAACGACCATGTATGAGCGTGACATTGGAATGACATTGATTTATAGTTGTCCCGATTATACTTGATTAAGCATTGATTTGTAGTTGAATGTGTAACAACAACAACGTTGAAAAATCATCTATTTATAGTTGACCGGAAATGACATGATATTGAAAAGCCATTGATTTATAGTGATGGGGAAACATGATTGAAAAGTCACTGATTATAGTTGACCGGGAAACATGATTGAAAAGTCATTGAATAATAGTTGACCGGGAAACATGATTGAGAAATCATGGAATTATAGTTGACGGGAAACATGATTGAAAAGTCATCTATTTATAGTTGACTGGGAAATAGGATTGAACAATCATTGAATTATAAATACCATTGAAGTCATGTTGATTTTTAGTTAGGCTTTGATTTCAACTTTGTTTCAGTATTTTCCAACATCAGTCTGATGTTGATTCAATTAGCGTTGAGAGCAGAATGCTGATTCAACATAGTTTCAATTATGTTTGCTATCTGGGAATACTATCGCAACATAGTCTTCCTCAATAACAATATAACCAATGTTCAATAAATATTTAATAATGCTTGAATCATGAATGAATTAGCACTTACTTTTTCTATTAAGATATTTATTTTGGTGAGGAAAAAGGGACTATATATTTCACTTAATTTTACTTGTGCACATTTGTTGAAAACAGTTTTTATCATAATAGTTCTGAATGTTCTGCCTCAAATTAGTGAAGTGATCAACTGTTTGGCATCAAGTGTTGTTCTGACCAGAAAGAAAAGTTTAAATCCAAATCAACCATCTGGTTTCTTCAACTTTTAATAAGTATCAAAATCAGCCTTTAAACTAGATAAAAGTAATGATTTGACATTTATCCTGATCATTTTCGATATCGAATTATATGAATTTTTTTATTGTGATAACAATTTTGTCCATATTGGTATAAGGGACCTGTAAGCCCTGGTATAAATAGTATTTATTAGCTTTAAAAATGCTAAAGGAAACTGGGGGAGCCAGTTTGAATGGGCCTGAGGGAGCTGATAATAATATATAGCAAGGATTGATATATATTATTTACAGGGGCTATGCTTAAATTTGTCAGTAAGGTAGCTGGATCATAAGCAAGTAATAGCACAGTTAGTCCAAATCCACTACCAGCACAGTCCCAGTCCAGACATTTCATACACTTCAATCAAAAATAAATCAAAAATGGGGGGTGAGGGGGCCTGCGCCCCAGAGGAGCTATGTCTAGCAAAGCCCCTACTACAGACTATGTGCTGGGTAATGCCAGTCAAGAAATCAGGTTTCTTTAGATATATATAGTAAGAAATTATATTGAAGAGGTACTCAGATCTTAAAGAAGTACAATACTTGAGTAAATATGTTACTTGTAACTAAGTAGGCATAGTCCGCCACTTTAGATTTACTGAAAGTAGTTAAATTTAAGAAAGAACTTGTGTTGCTTGTTTTTCTTTTACATGTAGTCTTATAGGTAGGCCTATTGGTTTATTCCCGTAAACACCCTATTTTCTTGCTGGGCAGTTAGCATAATTAGCATAATTCGCAGATATGGACAAATTTCAGCAACTGCTTGGCCAATTTGGACAATATTGGAGTGGTTTTGGAGGTTATTGAAGACGCTGAATTCATTCCTGACATTTTCTAAATGGCAGGTTCAACCAGAAGTGGCCAACTAGAGGGAGCTCCGCCTGGAGGGTGGCATTATGAGTTTTCCCATCTTAAATAGTAAAAAAAAAAAAAAAAAAACGGAAATCAATATGAGGCGGTCAGCAATGATAATGTGGTAGGCTGCCACAAATAAATTAATTTATGGGTAACACTGTGCTGGATATCACTCACCATATTAGCCAGTAAACATAAACCCAGTAAGACACAAACAGAACAGAAGTTGACTTCCGGCCGGCGCATCACCTTGGCAACGCTTCCGATGAAAGTGTCTATATGAAATGGAACAAACTGTAGATGCTCCTGTCTCTTTAAGCCCCCCCCCCCGGCTCCATCTAGTTCTGTGTGTCATGGAGCCATTGGTAGAAAAAACAGTTCATAACAGGAGGAAATCTGAAGTTTTTTCTTACAGGGATTTCTTTTAAATACTTTAACCTCATTGCTTGAAGCTTTGGCCATGTTTAACATGCATCTACGGTGCAAATTAAAAACTCACGTCTGGTTCGTTCTGTTCCTTGTACTTTGGTGTTTTTGAACTGAACAGTTACGGCAATCATGCGAATGAATAAAATACTTAATAAAATATCTGCTGCTTATCCTACGTATGTGCCAACCCATAGACACACACAAACACACACACACACACACACACACACACACACACACACACCACAACATAATAGAATAAACATTGTATTTGCAGCGATTTCCCTATTAAGTGTGGAAACAATATAAAAATATCTAAATAAAAATGAGTCTTTGTATAACAAGTATAACATGTTTATGATTTTGTTCTTTATTCTCACTGTCGTCCCGCACATTGGTAGAAATTGCTGCAAGATCCAGGGTGGGGATCTTCTATCCCTGCAGCTTACCTCTTCCAATGAACCATGTGTTTATGAGGAAAAACAGAACAAAATCATACTCTTGATCTGCTCTCATACAGTGTTTAGATTTGTTTTTTTTCAGTCTTTTTGTTAGCAACAAGTGACTTGCTCAGCACAGTAGGCTGTGCCCTATGCATGTGTTATTTTTTTTAAAAAAAGACACTGATGTGTTCCTTAGGTAAAATCAAAGAAAGAAACCAATAAAGTCTGTTTTCATAAATTGCTATAGGTAACAAGTTAGTGTTGAGCTAATATTTTTAGTGTTAAAGTCATTGCAGGTTTCATCAAATACATTAACGTCAGGGACACAACATAAGAAATCTGTAAAGTATATCCATGGCCAAAATCGTAATTTAAGAGTTTATACGTTTTAATTGATTTCAATTCATTCTAGGTGCATTTGACTTCATGCGGCACTGCGCAGCACTGACTTAAGGCCCATTTACGTGCGTACCTATGGCGTAGGCTACGCACGTAGCCATGCATTTATACTTGTACGTAGGTCTGTCCGTCATTCTGTGATACACCCCTAAACCCTAGTTGTGTTGCGTTTTTTCAGATTTTGAGAAAGGAGAGGCTCAGTCCAATGAAAATTAACAAAAAGATTTAATTACAAAAATTAGTGAATAAAGAGATGGCATTACAGAACAAACAAATAACACTGCAGTGGACTGAAAAGTTGGTCCTCCGTTCAGATTTACAGCTTTCAGTCAAGTCCGAACAGACTGAGCTAAAGCCGCCTCCAGCAGTGGACTGAAAAGCTGCTTCTCCTCCCAGATCCACAGCTTACAGTCCTGATTCTCACAAATAAATTGTTAATATCCTCCAGGTATGTGGGCGGGTCCATTTTCCTCCAAATGGCTTAGGTCCATAGCCATTGGTCGTCACCCAATTGGGAAGGGTGTACCTTACTGTTCTACCTTTTGGTCGAACAAAAGACACTGATCCCAGACGTGAAACCCCGCTTCAATCTACAGGAAAAACAGTCTTTTGCTCTAAACTAATCATAGAGAACAACTGGGCAGTCCTTCTGGCACTAAACAAAGAGGTGTCAGTTTTCTTCACATTACAAAGAGGATACAAACAATGGTTTAATCAACATTCTAATGCAATTGCCTGGCCTAAAATCCTGCAGTTTTACATTTGAAGAAAAACACTGAAACACTGGAATTAAGTTTGTTGAACTTTTTAAAACTCAACAATCCCTCCTTTCACACCATTTATTGGTGTGAAATCACTATTAGACTTAGCAAATCTACAATTATGTCATTGAAATGTCAGAAGTTGTAAAATCAAATCATGGTTTAAGCAAAAAATCATCTTCCTCTTCTCTGACCTCTTCCTCCTGCGTTGGTAACATGCCAATGTTACGTCTCCCCTCTGCATCCTCTTCTTGCATCTTCACTGGTTATGACCTTTTTTGTGTGAAACAGTACGTGTAGAAAATCAGTGTAAATGACATCAGTTCAATTGGTGAGTGCAAATGAATCAATAATCTGTGGGTGTTGTGGTTATATGAGTACTAGTGCAGTGTTTGTTGAGAGCTCCAAGACTTGTCTGTCATCTTGTTGAACTGTGCTGACCAGGACGGTGGTGAGCACTGCAGCCATTGTCTGTGTTGTTGGAGGGGATCCTCACGGGGAAACACTTTGCACTGTGATGCATAGACCCAAGTGTCCCTCTCAGCTACCTTGGCGGCAGTTGAAGTTGTCCATATCACCTGGGATGATCTTGACTGTCTGGTGATGGTCTCACTGATTGGAACCCTGGAACTGCACAGTGAGGCCCCCAGGTGGTGCGTGTGGCCAGGATTCTTCTGACCTTGTTCCTCTTCCCAGGCAGTCATTGGCAACTGGAGTAGTAGTTGACATGTACTCCCTCTTCCTCTCCTGTGTTTGGTGGTCCTCTTCTGTTTGAGGATTCTCTCCTCTCTGTAGGCCATAAGGCATGGTGCATGTAGACCTTCGAAAAGACAATCTCTGGACCAGTGTCCTAGCTGTCCA